GTCGGGATGGGCTAACTTCAAACCTTGAGTCATATACGTCTAGAAAAAATGTACTGATGTCTTTTAAGGGAGAAGAGTCAAGGAAATGAGTACTGATTCTTTTGAGGGGGAGAGACAGAAAAATGAGTAAAATGAAAACTTCAGTGCGGAAGAATACCCAGCCTTGACTATCCCCAGAAACAGATTCCATGTGATGTAAATGGTAAAACAGCAGAGTACATTATTTAAATGAAAATTAGCAATGATACCAGGTGTTGGAGAAAAAGGTATGTCCTGATTTTTCGGGATTATCGCCACTTTGAAAAGGATTTAGTTAGTCAGGTGACAGATTAATGTAAAATCGGAAGAAGCGGTTGGAGAATTGTAAACACAGCTTTGTGGGTGATGCAGGCCAAGGTACACAATCATCATCATTTGGGAACTGAACTATGTGTCATAGGATCCTGGCTTGTCTGAGGGAGTAATCTCTTCATCGCGATTGGGCCACCCGTGCCCGACAGACGAATACAATGAAACGAACTGGCGCTGTTCCCAGAGAGATCGCCCAAACTACCCAATGTTCGGGTTATCAAGTGTCCCGATTACCAACTATGAATAATGTTACTTTCTATTTGTGTACTCGTCCGGAAGGCAGGTTTCCGGACAAAGAGTGCCCGTTGTATTCAGAGATAAGAACATTTCTATTGTAACGTTCCTTATCGATTAGTACTGGCTCAACTACTTTGCAAATTAGTCTGTTCAAAGTATTAATACACAGTAACTGTATAACATCGATATTACCTAAGCAGACATCTGTGATGGCTGTCGTGTAGATACAATGAGGGTGTTTTATGGTGCTGCATTGTCATATCAGCATGCGGTACTATTCTTGAGGTGATTTCAAATTTTACTAAGAAAGTGTTATCCCAAATATAACATATGTTACATTTGACCACTTTCTAAATGTCACTGTGTAATCATAGCTTTCGGCCATGGGAGCCGTGCTAATTTACACTTATCAGAGGGGTACACAAAGTCTGCAACCTAGACTACCAGTTGTCCGACTTCCATTTCTGTGGAAGTTGCGGTGGCTGATTCAACCCAACAAAAGTACTAGAATTTGTACTTTACTAAGAAAGTGAAATCCCAAATATAACATATGTTACATTTCAAATGAGGTTAAAGGTCACATGCAACAAAAAAATCAAACATAATTAAAACACAATTATCACTTATTCATGACATATAATATACATTGCTGATTATGAAAATACATATAAACAAAATTATAAGCGTACAATCGCAAATCAAAAGTGCAATATTTTGTACTTGGGATTACTTCCCTCGAAACGAAGCAGCCAGGATACCGAACCCAGTCAGAGCGGGTGGGTGAGCACTCGAGTGTAATGGATGGTTCATTTGCAGATGCCCTCACGACTCATTGTGTGTGTGTATACAGAGATGTTGGGTTTTGTAAACACATGCTCATTTTTTGCATATAACATTTTGCAATCAACAGACATCATAACATGTCATGTGTACAAGTATCACACCTGCCTGTCTGTGTAATTACATAATGTGACAGAGACCGAACTCGGACCATAAATCAATGCGTTTTGTTTCTAGTGTATAGCCTGATTGGTGTTAGTTCCAATTACATGTGGTCAGTGATCGCAGTTGTGTATTGAATATTGCCATTAGCAGACAGACAGACAGACAGACACACAGGTGTCAATAAAACAAGACATTGAGTTTTGTCTGTGACAACGACATATCTATATCAAAGTTAGAAATTCTGTCAACGCTAAATAATGACATTGCTTTTAAGTATCGAACTGAGAAAGTGACTCGGTAAGAAGAACGTGTGGTGAAATAGACAAATGAAATTATACAAACAGTTAAATCGGTAATCTACTGTCATAACATATAAAAAGCTCGCGCCTGTGAAATATCAACAAAACATTAGAAAAATAGCTCACATCAAAGCCTTCACCGAGTATTCACCGCCAGCGAAGGTTTTCCGTCTTGAAATGTCGAACGCCTCACTGGTTGACACATAGCTGAGTAGATCTAGATCCTAACAAGGTTCTTTTATGTAATGAGTAGATTATCTACTATTCGTTTTGATTAGACTACTCCTACTCACGACCTTATAAGCCGGACATCCCGCTGCGCGAACCTATTTCACTGCGCATGTGCTATGAGCGCAGCACAGCTGTTGAAACTACTTTTCACCCGAAGCGCTGGGGTGAATTTAGTGAATCGTTTTTTTCATCGCGTTTTTTTTCAACTTGATCAGTTCAATTTGCATTTTGATGATTTGTATCTGTAAGTCCATACCGAAAGGTATCAGAATCTGCAAAGTTGTGTTTTACGTTGCATTTGACCTTTAAACGTCGCGTTCAGGGTTATTGCACTTACGTACAGCCATGTACAAGGATGAGTGTGTACCCGCTGCTGCAAGTCGGGACTAGTGTCGGTTTACAGCATCAATAACATGTAGCCATGGTTGTCCACTATGGAGTAGCCACTGATATCGTTGGCGGTCTTGGCCCGGCCCGGAAAACCCGTTTTACAGTGGTCAGTGAGTTTAGTTTTTAAGCAATATTCCAGCAATATCACGGCGAGGGACACCAGAAATGGACTTCACGCATTATAACAATGTTGGGAATCGAACCCAGGTCTGCGGCGTGACGAGCGAACGCTTTAACCACTAGGCTACCCCACCGTCCCTTACAGTGGTAGTCCACGGAGAGATATACCGTGCTGCGGTTCAACAACGATACCTACAACGGTACGTGTTTTTTTACGATTGTATTTTCTTCAATGACATCATTCAGTTTCAGTTAAGATTATTCCTTATGATGTGAAAATTAATGCATCCTTTTACGAGACCTTTTACACAAAGTATATAATTGGTTATACCATTCAATGTATTCTTAGTGATACTGGCAGGGCCCTGTCAAAACTCTTAAAGCCAAAGTTGAAGGAATTTGTTATCGTTGTCATTGGTTGATAACGTGGATAGAATTATAGCACATTAAAGATAGCATTGAATAAATACTAATTTAATAGATAGCAGTAAGATGATATCGTGACCGGTAACATTCAGTAACTAATATGAATGTCACACAACTATCATGGCCATGAAAATGCTATACCAATGATAACTGTGAAATGGCGTCTCCTGACGATTTTCTTATACGCAGTGATGTTACTTTAAACGCAACATCACGATAAACATGGTACTCGAAGTTCCACAGATACCACACACACGCACGCACGCACGCACGCACACACACACACACACACACACACACGAAGACATATACTAGTATTCACACACACACACACACACGAGAAGACATATATTCACACACACGCACACACATACGAAGACACACACACACACACACACACACACACACGCACGCACACACTTCCTCTCACAGGTCCGTTGTGTTGTTCCCTGGTTGTACTTGTGCTAGTGACCTCTACAACAGTCGTCAGACAACCGACTTCAACCGTGTAACATGATTCACCACAACATGGAACAATCTCGGCTTGACATTGACATTTGACGGTTGTTTAAGGCCACCATCACCAATATTCTAGCTGAGTTTGTGTACAGCGTTTCAAGGACTGATGACGTGTCAGCTGATTGTGGGAAATAAGCCCAAAAGTGACGCAAGCTTGCCATTTTGTTGATGCTTGAAGGGCCACAGCCAGAGGACACAAGGGTGTACACCAGAGACAAGCACGGGGTTCTATAACGACACACGTTAACGTGTCACCGCTTCGGTAAGGTACTGCAAGTGTTACATGGAAATCTTGGTGTTAGTGGGGTAGCCTAGTGGTTAAAGTGTTCACTCCGAAAGTCCTTGTTTGAATCTCAAAATGTCTACAACACGTGGTCAAGCCTATTTCCGGAGTCCTGGACTATTTCTCACTTGTTGTTTCCTGTTGGGAATGGAACCTACTTCACGAGGCCGGATTTAGTTCGCCTGACTATTTTCTGATTGATTACAGGTGCAACCCTAGAAGATCTTGCCCAATGTCCTTCATCATGATAGTCTGCTACAAAAATATTTTGAAACATGCGAAAGCCCTTTGAAGCGGCTTCCCGGTGGATCGTGGTCGTGGTTAACTCTTTACACTGCAGGAGATTCCACGGCTTCTTCTCCCTCTGTATATCACTAGAGAAGCTTTACATTAGTATTTAAGCAGCGTCTCCAACAACAGTAATGGCACGTTCCCGACTTAGTACATGCCGCGTGTGAAAAATAAATTGTTTTTAATTTGAAAAATAGAAAAAAGTCCCCAATAAAATAGCTCAAAACGGTCAGGGAACTTTCAGGTCAAATTACAGGCTGTGTTAGTAAGCTATAGCTGGGCTACTGACAATGAAAACATTCCCAGGTACAGTAACAAACGTATTAAGGAATATAAAGAATCCAAATTTCCGTGTCACTCCGTTAAGCATTATTTCAGCTGTTTCAAGGGGTCTGAACACCCTCGAAAGCGGGTGGTAGATGGGAGTCTGGTAAAACATTAGGTTAGAATGCACGACCAGCAGACCCTGGACCAAAGCATTGTAGCACATTGGACAACATCCAGACAATATCTTTTTGAGTGAGTGAGTTTGATTTTCTGCCGTTTTTAACAATAGTCGAGTAAAATATAGACTCCGTAAATGGGCTTAGCACACGTTACTTATTTGCGAATCAAACCCGGTCCATAGGCGTGACGATTGAGCGCTTTCACCACTAGGCTACCCCAAAGCGTCCCTCTCTAATGAGTTTCAGTGAGAAAATACATGTAGACAAAGGGAGGAATGTTATTTCAGTGATGGAATTAAAAGACCAGTTTACCAAAAGCACTGAGATTATAATATTTTATCAAACATCAGCAAATATAAATTGGACTACGCGTTTGACGGAAGCATAGACTAAACACATTCTAAATTCAAAGCAGCTGGGAGGGAAAACAGATATAAGCCAGAGAGGAAGATGAACACTTACTGGGAGAACGCCGTTCTTTGATTGGAACTGTTGGAAACAGTGAGATTTAAGAAATCAAATATATGAGTTTGTACAACAATAATAGTTTTATGATACCTATCTTGGTGCTATACAAATCCTTCCAATAACACATTTTCACCTGCTATGTGTGACGATATTGGCTGTGGAACAACAATATAGTCCGAGTAGAGTCATCGTTTCATAAAATATAAAAGAGTTCCGTGTCCAGTACATGTTGTAAGAAAACCACAAGTAATTGTGGCGGTTGGACTGGACATTTTTACAGACTGACCAAGTTGAAGTGTTGTTTTAAATTAGTTTGAAACAAAAACGTATCCACGCACTTTTAATGTGCGCGACCTCGAACACAGCTTCTTCTCAAGATACCATGACACATACAACAAAGAGTAACACCAACAAAGCGAGAAAATTGTAGGTTGAAACTGTATAGAAGATTTGGAATATCATTCTAGTGGCACAAATCAATATTATGCTTATCTACAGATGCCATATCAAGTTTTTCGTGAGAGCGGATACGACGTAGCAAATAAGGTTCGAACACGGAATTGTACTTTCAAAACCAAGCATGATCCTGTAGAGTGAAATCAATGTCAATCTGGTATTATTATCTTAACACCAAAAGAACCATTACTAAATATGGCTTCACTTCCTGAAATGTAACAACAGAATGAAGGATTATTTAATTTCTACATAGCTACCTTACGCGTAACTGCGTCGGTACTATTGTCTATTATTCACACTCGAACTCCTCTTGTCTCGAACAATCGCTCACTAGTTACATTTTCACTGTATTACAGAATGGACGAGCTTTCATGGTATCGAGTATGATCAAATCCTGATTAAGATCTGCTGTTGTTAATATATAGCAGAGGAAGGCGTGTAAAAGGTTGGCTATACTGGTATGAAGCTGACGTGCTTGAAGCAGAGAACAGCTGTCTGGTACGACAACAACACCACCACTTCAAGAAGGACTCTGTCAACAGATACTACTGGCAATGTTTTGCATTGAGACTAGAAACAGAAACACTAAGCAATATTTTAAAGTACAATGTTTTGAAAAAGGTAATCCCAGAAATGTCAGCTCATATAGATATATGTTAGTGATTTTGACATTTCATTTTCATCATAAAATCTTAGGCGGTATCCATGAAGGCACTGATGACGCTAACCAGAGTTAACCTGACACGAACATTTCATTGTTACTGTTAATGTCAAGAAAGAATTGATAAAGGCGCTGATGAAAATGAAAATATTTAGACAGACATAAAAATGAAAAGTCACAACGATGACAAAACACACATCACACTGAACATCACACTGAACATCACACATCACACTGAACATCACACATCACATTAAACATCACACATCACACTAAACATCACACATTACATTAAACATCACACATCACACTAAACATCACACATCACACTAAACATCACATTAAACATCACACATCACATTAAACATCACACATCAAACATCACAATAAACATCACACTGAACATCACACTAAACATCACATATCACAATAAACATCACACATCACACTGAACATCACACATCACATCACACATCACACTATACATCACACTAAACATCACACATCACACTGAACATCACACTAAACATCACACTGAACATCACACATCACAATAAACATCACACTAAACATCACACATCACAATAAACATCACACATCACACTAAACATCACACATCACACTGAACATCACACTGAACATCACACTAAACATCACACTGAACATCACACATCACACTAAACATCACACTGAACATCACACATCACATCACACATCACACTATACATCACACTAAACATCACACATCACACCAAACATCACACATCACACTAAACATCACACATCACACTGAACATCACACATCACACTGAACATCACACTGAACATCACACTAAACATCACACTGAACATCACACTAAACATCACACATCACACTGAACATCACACTGAACATTACACTAAACATCACACTGAACATCACACATCACACTAAACATCACACATCACACTATACATCACACTAAACATCACACATCACACTGAACATCACACTAAACATCACACTGAACATCACACATCACCCTAAACATCACACATCACACTATACATCACACATCACACTGAACATCACACATCACACTAAACATCACACATCACACTAAACATCACACATCACACTAAACATCACACATCACACTATACATCACACTAAACATCACACATCACACTGAACATCACACATCACACTAAACATCACACATCACACTATACATCACACATCACACTGAACATCACACATCACACTAAACATCACACATCACACTAAACATCACACATCACACTAAACATCACACATCACACTATATATGACACATCACACTGAACATCACACATCACACTGAACATCACACTAAACATCACACATCACACTAAACATCACACATCACACTGAACATCACACATCACACTCAACATCACACATCACACTAAACATCACACTAAACATCACACTATACATGACACATCACACTCAACATCACACATCACACTAAACATCACACATCACACTAAACATCACACATCACACTTAACATCACACTCAACATCACACTCAACATCACACATCATACTATACATCACACTAAACATCACACATCACACTCAACATCACACTGAACATCACACTAAACATTACACTGGACCTCACACATCACACTAAACATCACACATCACACTAAACATCACACATCACACTAAACATCACACTAAACATCACACATCACACTGAACATCGCACTAAACATCACACATCACACTGAACATCACACTACACATCACACATCACACTGAACATAACACATCACACTAAACATCACACATCACACTAAGCATCACACTAAGCATCACACATCACACTATACATGACACATCACACTGAACATCACACATCACACATCACACTTAACATCACACTCAACATCACACATCATACTATACATCACACTGAACCTCACACATCACACTAAACATCACACATCACACATCACACATCACACTAAACATCACACATCACACTGAACATCACACTAAACATCACACATCACACTAAACATCACACATCACACTAAACATCACACATCACACTAAACATCACACATCACACTAAACATCACACATCACACTAAACATCACACTAAACATCACACATCACACTAAACATCACACATCACACTAAACATCACACATCACACTATACATCACACATCACACATCACACTATACATGACACATCACACTGAACATCACACTGAACATCACACATCACACTAAACATCACACATCACACTATACATGACACATCACACTAAACATCACACGGGAACATCACACATCACACTTAACATCACACATCACACTATACATGACACATCAAACTAAACATCACACATCACACCAAACATCACACATCACACTAAACATCACACTAAACATCACACATCACACTATACATGACACATCACACTAAACATCACACATCACACTAAACATCACACTAAACATCACACATCACACTATACATGACACATCACACTAAACATCACACATCACACTAAACATCACACATCACACTAAACATCACACTGAACATCACACTGAACATCACACATCACACTATACATCACACTAAACATCACACATCACACTGAACACATCACTGAACATCACACTGAACATCACTCTAAACATCACACTGAACATCACACATCACACTGAACATCACACATCACACATCACACTAAACACTAAACATCACACATCACACTAAACATCACACATCACACTATACATCACACATCACACATCACACTATACATGACACATCACACTGAACATCACACACCACACTAAACATCACACATCACACAATACATCACACACCACACTGAACTGCACACTGAACATCACATTGAACATTACACTAAACACTAAAGTGTTTCGGATTCTGTTTTCGGAACTCGTTGAATTATTGTTAATCGTAGGAGCGGCTGAAACTCACCTTGGCTTTAGATGGCAGAGGAAGATTCATGAAACCCAAAAGGGACTTCTTCCGGAATGGGAAGCCATTCAGTTTATCTAAACCAATGGCGATCGAGTCCTTCCTGACATGCGCAGCGAGGCTATTGCTGTACGATGCCCCAGTGTCGTTAGATTCCGTGGACCCTCTTCTCCCTTCCCTTCCTCCCCGTATTTCCTCAGGGCGTGGCTCCTCCACAGACATCCTCACCCTTTTAGGGTACACCCCGTTCTCCCCTCGGGATCGTTTAGTATTCGGCTTGGCTAGCTTGCTCCGTCTCAGCCCAAACTCGGGTCCTTCATCCTCAACATGCTCCTGGGAAAACACAGAACCACTGGATGACAACGTTCGCCAATTATCTTACTTTACGCACTGTCTGTTAAGCGTTTCTGTGTGAACAGATGTTTATGTAGATGGGATACATATATTGCTTAGCTAACACATTTTATTGGGCTTCTATTTGTATAAGGGGTGTATAATTGATATCGTAACCTTGACTTTGTATGTTTGACGTGATAATGATCTATCATGGTGTATTTGTACATATCTCTGTGTAATCAAAATAAATCTTCGGCGTGCTTAAAATACTCTTGTTAATATATGTGTATATCTCATAATGCATCAACTGAAAAGACGTGAAGCACCTCTGTGCCTATATTTACATGTATTACCGCATTCTATGTACCTTTTGTTAATATGTTCATCTGACATTTATAAGATGCAGCCGGTAATATATGAAGGTTTGATAAAGGGACACTATGGTGCTCCAGATGGTCACTTGATTGTATGTGACAAAGATGCAGTAGTGATTGACATTATATAAGTACTGACAAGGATCAGAAGAAAACAGATTTCCATTTTAAACCCAAAGAAATTTGATTATTCTGTAGCGTTGACTTGTATAATTGCATAATAAATTCGAACTACGGGGATTCTAAAGAAGGTACCTCGGGGGAGGTTTGGCCACTGTCAGCTCCATCAGATGAAATAGGACTTGGACAATTGACAACCCCGTGCCGACGGCGATGATGTGGTGCGATGTTACCGAGGTAGTTCTCTTCGATCTCCTCGTCGGAGAGGCACTCGTACAGCCGCGGGGTGTCGCTGATGTCTGCGCTGATGCCGGCGATGGAAGATGTAGACTGGCGTCTTTCCTTTTCCGGGGACTCTGACAGAGGGGGTGATGGGGGCAGGTCTGAGAGGGGAGGGGAGGGAGGCAGGTCGGACAGTGGAGAGGATGGGTACGACCGATGGTCGCCATACTGTTCAATGTCAACTTCGACTGTAAGCTGGAGGTCGGACGTGGAACTTCCGGTGGGGGTTGATGGGAGTTCCGGAAGTGATGCACCCTGGGATGCAGTCTTGTCGTTGGTCATCGCTCCGTTTCTGCCCTGAAATAAAGAAAGTAACCTTTCATTTAGAATGATCAAAAGTTGAATTTAAATTTCCTCATTCCTCAAACTAGAAAGAAGAAATGCTCTATCACTAAAATTGGCTTTGTCAGAATAAATGTCGAAATTTAAAATACGATATTCCAACGATACAAAATTTAAAAAGGTGCAAAAAGAAGTTTCCAAGATAATGAAAGTGATTTCCGTTTTTCAATATGCGAGAACAATCCCAAAGAGTTGATATGTATGCTCCTAGACTCTCAAGTAGAACACCGTCATTCCTTGTACCCTGTCACAGAACACTTGTGCATAAGTAGAACAAACAAAGTCTGTCAGCGCATAACCAGAAAACATCTTCTGAGGATATTTAGTTTTCGTATTAATGTCAACTTGTAACATTTTAACAGTGTCCCTTTTTAAGTCGCTTTCAGATGGATTCACGCGTTGGACTTCAGAACTATGTGAGATATTTGAGGTAAGAAACTCGAAGGGTTCAACACACTAATATTTCCGAAGCAAAACACAATGGTGACACAGCAATTGATGAGATTCAAGGCCGATGGTTGATTGAGTTTATACTGGACATGTTTTATTATTATTGAATCAATTGTTTCACCTCCGCGTTCAAAGAAGGGCTGTGGTACGTTTCTTTATAGAGGCGAGTGGTTTTCCAGTAAGTGCATTTGGCAAATACTTATAGTAGTCCAGTGAAATCATGGCGTCAAGTTATTTTTACTACTTCAGTGAAATCCCTGATCACGTGACAACCACGGAATTTGAAGCAAGTGTGAAATGAAATTAAGCTTTTTCTCGCTAACCCAATCCTTTTTTAGTCTGATGTCATCTGATTCTGTTTTACGCCGTTTTGGTAAGACCGTCCTCGCCTAGACTGTATATGATACGACAGTAACAGTTGACGTGAAGTAATAGCTGACCTGGACAATGCCCCGTTATCATCAACTAATCTATATTGTTTGCTTTTACACATGGACTTACCAAACAATAATAATAATTGCCATTATTAGACATTTGTCGGCAAACTAAAAGTAATAACTGATTATATTTAAATTTTATATGAATATAGAAATTCACTGTACATTGTTAAAAAGTAAACAAATACGTTCAAGGACGATGACGCCGCTTTTTTCCGCAGGACATACATAGGTTTATTTAAATTTGAATAGCATACTTTCAGAAACGTTTGACATATTAAAGAAGAGGACCGAACAATACAGAGAAAACATCCTATCGAAAAAAACATAATGTTTATAATAATAGTCAGACACTGACGTAAACAATATTGGATAAAAAAATACAAATATACGTACTAAAGAGTGTCACGGCACAATGAAATCGTTTCAGCGTGTGTAATGCTGAAGGTCTTCATACCACATTATGAAAATGTCATTTTACTTTTGGAAAGAACGGTCAACTCAATTTGACCTCCTAAGTCCATGTTTATACAACACACAACAGTTAACAACATTCTTAGGTCTGGCTTAGAAGTACCTGTTTCTCAAACCTGCCTTACGGGTAGGAGTACCCTCCTTGATCTAGTGTTTCATTCACACGATTACCCATGAGGTGTACAAGAATGACCCCGCAAGCTCCACCTTAAAGGGGAACTACGCTCGATACGATTACCCATGATGTGTACAAGAATGACCCCGCAAGCTCCACCTTAAAGGGGAACTACGCTCGATACGATTACCCATGAGGTGTACAAGAATGACCCTGCAAGCTCCACCTTAAAGGGGAACTACGCTCGATACGATTACCCATGAGATGTACAAGAATGACCCCGCAAGCTCCACCTTAAAGGAGAGCTACGCTCGATAGGATTACCCATGAGGTGTACAAGAATGACCCTGCAAGCTCCACCTTAAAGGGGAACTACGCTCGATACGATTACCCATGAGGTGTACAAGAATAACCCTGCAAGCTCCACCTTAAAGGGGAACTACGTTCGAACCAATTACCAGTCCCATGAAGTATTACGATCATCACTCAGGTTATCTAGTTCAATCAGTTTATGCGTATCCACCATTTATCTCAAGTGCACAAAAACGAAATCGAGGCTGGTAGCCTTGATCATGAGCCAACGTCAACTGTTATAGGTCCACTGGTTTTTTCATATTTACTATTCGTTTGTTTGTTGTTTAACATCGCTCTCCAGACAATCCAGTGATCAACAGCGTGAGCACCGATCTACGCTGTTGGGATACGATGACATGTGTCAACCAAGTCAGCGAGCCTGACCACCCAATAGGTTACTGAAGACCAATTCTAGAGCGGATCTTCACGGGTCCAATATGTTATTGGATGATTGGTGCAAAACTGCACTGATCCAAATAGTATGTACTTATTTCACTGAGAAAAAAACGGAAAATGTTTATGTCTGTCAGTATGTGCTCAATATCGTGAAACTAATGGAGCAAACGACGCTAAAGAGTAACAAACCAAGAACATAAAAAACATTTATTGTCCTTTGCCGTGAATAAATGCTATCGCTTGTAGCCACACTTGAAGAAACGATAATCATGTGTACCTCAGTGTCTCTACCCTTGTGATACTTTATAGGATTAAAAGGATACTTCCCGTATCGAAGTCTCCAGTGTTAGCCCCAGCCATCAGTATTTGTACTCTGCCATGGAGGTCGAGATACTAGCGTTAGAACCCTGAATTCCACCAGCCACCGACGTATGTACGTGTACCGTCTGTGTCATCATCAGATCTTAACAGAATTGAGTTAAGTGAAGTATTTTTGTGTGCCAGTTAAATGTTGTGTCCGACGATCAAGGGGCGGTGGGGTAGTCTAGTGGTTAAAGCGTTGGCTCGTCACGCCGAAGACCCGGGTTCCAATCTCCACATGGGTACAATGAGTGGAGCCCATTTCTGGTGTCCCCCCGCCGTTATATTGCTGGAATATTACTTAAAGCGGCGTAAAACCAAACTCAGTCAGTCAGTCAGTCCGACGATCAGCAAGCTCACTGTAAGTGCAGTTTCAGCTGAGACCTCAACAGTCACGTGACATCAGTTATACCCGTCAACAGTCACGTGACATCAGTGATACCCGTCATCAGTCACGTAACATCAGTGATATCCGTCAACAGTCACGTGACATCAGTGATACCCGTCATCAGTCACGTAACATCAGTGATACCCGTCAACAGTCACGTAACATCAGTGATACCCGTCAACAGTCACGTAACATCAGTGATACCCGTCAACAGTCACGTAACATCAGTGATACCCGTCAACAGTCACGTAACATCAGTTATATCCGTCAACAGTCACGTAACATCAGTGATATCCGTCAACAGTCACGTAACAGCAGTGATATCCGTCAACAGTCACGTAACAGCAGTGATATCCGTCAACAGTCACGTAACATCAGTGATATCCGTCAACAGTCACGTAACATCAGTGATATCCGTCAACAGTCACGTAACATCAGTGATATCCGTCAACAGTCACGTAACATCAGTGATATCCGTCAACAGTCACGTGACATCAGTGATACCCGTCAACAGTCACGTAACATCAGTGATACCCGTCAACAGTCACGTAACATCAGTGATACCCGTCAACAGTCACGTAACATCAGTGATACCCGTCCACTCAACTTGAAAACGGTATATCTATACCGAAACGCCGCTTAAGCATAAAGATTTGTCATTCAACTTGTATCGTGTTCTAAAACTTCAGCTGGCCAATTAGATACCTGGGATTTTTGACGATGATAAGAAGTGTTATGTATTCATGGCAGAGGACAATACATATGTTTTATGTTCTTGTTTTGCTCCTCTTCAACGCCGTTTGCACCATTAGTTTCACGATATATAGCAACAAGACCCCCTTTTCCTAAGTTACCCGTTAATGTGACGTGTCATGTGACAATGTCTAGACATTGATAGCTTTGGTTTTTATTCAGCTGAAACAGCCCTGTGTCGACAATAATCAAGTACCGGATAACACCATGCTGATCAGGAAGATGAATATTACTCCTGCGTAACATAAACAAGCCGCTGATTCGAAGTAGGCTGTCAGACAACTCCAATAAACAGATACAATGTTTCAATTTGATTGCAACGCCAATTCCTGACTGGAAGTGACATCTACTACATCGTAGTTCACAGTTGCAGATTGTAGATTTTTATCATTTTGCGGTTTTGTACCATGATTGACACATGTCATCATATCCCAATTACGTAGATCGATGTTCATGCAGTTAAGCAAAGGCTTGTCTGGTCCAGACTCGATTATTTACAGACCGCCTCCATATATCTGGAATATTGTTTAGGGTTAGACAACAAACAAACAAAAGCAACTGTACCGTCACGTGCAGTCACTTATTCATTCACCACGTACTTCAAGTAATACATGTCTGTATGGCCTTCTACATAGCACCGTCCGACTTCATATCAAGTCAACAATGTTATGTGAATATAACTGGATAACATCTGTATGTTCATTTTAAACTGACTGACTGACTGACTGAGTATGGTTTTACGCCACTTTTAGCAATATTCCAGCAACATCACGGCGGGGGACACCAGAAATGGGCTTCACATCTTGTACCCCTGTGGGGAATCGAACCCGGGTCTTCGGCGTGACGAGCCAACGTCATTCTAGAACTGCTATTTTAACATGTGTACATGTGACTGAACTGACCTCGTCTGTATGTAAATACTAAATTTTGCTCAACACTTTGTTTTTTTAAGTCAACACAATCATATTTCTCTATACATTTTGACGATGATCATATTTTTTCTATTATATGCTGACTGACTGCCTGTATGAATATGGGCCGAAGGTCTATATTCTTCATGAATTATATCTATCTATCATGGCTCTGATTTTTCTGAGGCAAATCATGTTCATATTTCAAATTAATTAAATCATATTTCTATATCGTTTTTAAGATTTAACTGGAGTAGATTTCTTTAATCACATTCGGCACCTCAATAATATTTCTATTCTAATATCTCAGCCTTTCT